CATATATTAAGCTTTTAGAGCACTATGATTCATAGAGGTTTCTGTCATATTTTATTTTTGGTTTACTGTTTGCATAGTAATTTTTCCTCTGACTGAGGCTACATAATGTTTTCACAAATACCAAGCATAATTCAATTACATGGTAATCTGTATAATTTACTTATTGATATTCCAAAATAATATATATACATATGTAATTGATATATATACATATACACATATACATATGTGTGTGTATATATATATATATATATCAATTAATTAACTATAACTTGTTTCAGAAAACAGAAAATTCTGATTTTTTAATCATCCAGCTCCTATATGGCTAGTTGAAAATCTATTTAGTTTAATCATACCTCGTTTATTCTTTATAAAATATTACTTTTTCTTTCTTTTAATTCTGACTAAAACATTTTAAAATTTCCACACACCGCCTTTAGGTCAAGGCCATTCCTACAACTCCAGAATTCTGAGAAGCTATACTGTGTAGCATGGAGTCTAAAGAGAATATATCTGCTGCATCTGAAAGACAACATCAGCAACGAAGACAATCAATAGTCAAGTATCAGTAAAACAAAAGTAAAGAAAACCTGAACTGATGTGTGTAAAAACAAAAAACAACAATTTTGAACAATGGGAAATATGGCATAAGGTTCTTAATATTCGTTTATTAACTATACTATTCAGATATCAACTCAAGGGATTAAGAATTATTTCTGACTATGACTGAATGAGAACACTCTGCAAAGTAGAAATACCTTTTAAATTGCTAGTTTAGAACCTAACAAACAGAAATAAGTCAGCCTTGATTAGATTAAAAGTTTGACCAATAATATTACCATGCAAGTGAAAATATAATAATGATTGATGAGAAAAGCTAACATTCAACCACTTGTCCTAATAAATTGTTAGTCTGAAATGAACATTCCCAGTATAACATGTAAAATACTATTAATAGTCTATGTAACCTCAAAGTTTCAAGGTCATCATCACATCCAATTGTTTTTACACAAAGTCATTAAAATAGTTTAACATAAATATTAAAAGCTTTTAATCATACAAAGTTTCTATATTATAAAGAATTAGTCTTATATTCTCAAAGCATCTTATGGATTTAACTTTTTAATTCAAAATCACATATTTCTACATGTAAGAAATATTTCGGAGGTTCTGAATCAAAATGCTAACAGTGGTTACCCAGGGGCAGTAGAAGTGGGTGAAAGAGATGGAAAAGTTTCATTCGACACTTCCGTACTGCTTGGATTTTATATGAGGTGTGTGTACCTTCCTAGTAATAAACATAATAAACCCATGCATCCACTGAGCACTTACTGTAAGCCAAGCACCGGGCTTGGCCTTGTAAAAGTAGGATGTGTAGGAGCTAATCTTACTCAACAAACCCAAGATGTGATTAGAAGCAATTGTGAAATATAATTACAAATAATTATAATACATGTGGACACCATGAATAGCAGTATACACAGAATTCAGGGAGAGCCCTGAAGTGGGGAAATGAGCTCTGAGAAATTATAGACTTGCTAAAAAACTGCAGGCCCAAGCTTCAGTAAAAAGTACAGTAATATCTTGGTTTGTGAGCATAATTCATTCCGGAAACAAACGACTCATATTGCAAGACATCGCTCGTTTACCAAGTTAAAATGTACTAGAAATATTTGCTCATCTTGTGGAACACTCACAGACCAAGCTACTCGCAATCCAAGGTTTTACTGTAATTGGAAAAATGTCAGGATACTTGCTTCTGCTCCCTCTCCGTTAAATTAGAATCTCTTTGAGAGCAAGGACCGCACAATTCTACCATGGAGCTCCTGAGTGCTTAGCATTCTGTCTTTTATGGCAGAGGCGCCATAATGTTAAATGAGAAAGAGAAAGTCTCCTTTAGAAAAAAAAATCACAATCATAAAAGAAAGTAATTCTTACAACAAGAGCATCCATTGGCAAAGAAAAACATATAGTATGGTGTAGTGAGGATTTCACTACATTTGAAATATTAGTGTCAGTGTCCCACAGCCAGTTCTTGTACTTATTTTATTCTTGTATCTTCCCTAAATTTCAGTTTTCTCATCTGCAAAATAGACTAACATCTACTATATCTATGTCCAATGATTGTTGTGAGACTTTCAAAAATTCTATATTACAACCAAGCTATATATTCATAATTTCAACCTTTAATTCTATCTACCTTTTTTATCTTCTTATTGATGAATGTTTTTGGAATTTCTTTGTTTTTTAAATGTATCTTTTATTAGTTTCAGGTGTACAAAACAACATAGTTATTAGTCATTTACATACCTCACAAAGTGATAACCTTAATAATTCTATTACCCATTTGACACTGTACATAGTTATTATAATATTACTGGCTATAATCCCTATGCTGTACTACATATCCCTGTGACTATTTCTTAAATTATAGATGGCATTCAATATTATTTTATATTAGTTTCAGGTGTACAGCAGAATGGTTAGATATTTATATAATTTATGAAGTTATCTCCCTGATAAGTCTATTACCCGTCTGATGCTATACGTGGTTTTTACAACGTTATTGACTATATTCCCTGTACTGTATTTTACATCCCTGTGACTCCTTTGTAATGACCAATTTGTACTTCTTAATCCCTTAACTTTTCTCACCCAGCCCCCCCCACTCCCACCTCCCCCTCCTACCTAGTAATTTGGTCTGTATCTATGAGAGTCTGTTTCTCTTTTGTTTATTTTATTCTTTAGATTCCACATATAAGGGAGATCATATGGTATTTGTTTTTCTCAGTCTGACTTATTTTACTTAGAATAATACCCTCTAGGTCCATCCATGTTATCACAAATGGTAAGATTTCATTCTTTTTATGGCCGAGTAATATTCCATTGTATATATTTACCACAATTTCTTTATCCAATTGTCTGTTGATAGGCATTTTGGTTGTTTCCATATCTTGGCTGTTGTAAATAGCGCTGCAGTGAGAATAGGGGTGCACCCCTATGTTGCAATTTCTTTTTGACAATGATTACAGATCAACATAAGACAAAGAGTTCTTTTGAAGTTACTGATGTCATCATGTTGAGTTGTTACATGTGGAACTATATAATTCCTCTTAGACGCTTTCTGATTAGGTAACATATTTCAGTGTCTTAAATGCTCAGTTTCCTTCTGAGTATATTTCCGTATGATCCCAAAGGACTTAGATGATAGCCTTTTTTAAATTTTTTTGAATAAGGTCTCTCCACATCTCTACTTTGCCATTTCCAGTAAATTTTATTTGTTACTCAGATGTGTTTTACATTATCTAAATTAAATCTCAGTACACAGCAGATTATCTCACTTTATAAATAACATTATATGGGAGGTAACGTAAGGAGAAATCTCTTTATGATCTCTCATATTATTGTTCAGTATTAATGTTTTTTGTCAAGATAACTGCTATGACATCACAAACAAAGAGAAACTAAAAGAAGCAGGCCAACTCAAACCAAATTAAGGGAAGATTAAAAAAAAAGAAACTATTTTATTGTCATGTAACATGTTGGGAGAAACAAAACTAATGTTCACGGTTGCTCCTTCTCCCTTCTTCCCTCCCTCTCTTCCTCCTTTATTTCTTTCCTTCCTTTGTTAAAACAACTTAAAAAATGAAAGGGACTATTATATCTTAGAGTACTCAGGAAATCAACTATAAGTAATAAAATAAAATCACAGACATTGAAATGAGATAATATTTCATTTTGGCACATATTACACTAATGTAAATCGAGGTGCTATAATTTGGTAAGCAGAAAGCTTTCCATCAATTTGACAGTCTTATTAGCCTCTGAAGAGGTGAAACACAGAGGAGGTAGTTATTGTTATAAAAAACATTCCTCTGTTAGCTCTTTCTTTCTCTAGTCATAAAATTCACTATGGAATTATTTACCAACTAGATTTTGGATATTTTAAACTGCAATCTAAATTTTTACTAAATTTTATTATTCCTTGATTTTGACGTTGATACTACAAATGACAATCACAGGAGGAAAAGCTCTTCAATAAACAAATTCAAAAATAGTTCTCTTCTCTTCATGAGCAAATTGCAAATAGAAAGTTGAACATGTGATATGATTTCAGAAGTTCTGCAAATTTTACCCAGCTCAGAGAAACCTTCCCCAATTATAGGGATGATGCCTGAAACTCCAAAATTAAAGATTCTTCCCCTGATTATAAAATAATGCTTCTGTTTGGATTTAATATCTTTGTGAGCAGAAACCATATTAAGATGTTTTAGTCATTTATAAGGTATAAAGGAAGGTAGCTGTTTCTTCAATGGAAATGCATGAAAAGGGGAAGAGTTAGGAGAATGGAAACTCTAGATCAGCGGTTCTCAACCTGTGGGTCGTGACCCCTTTGGGGGTCAAATGACCCTTTCACAGGGGTCGCCTAAGACCATCGGAAAACACATATTTTTGATGGTCTTAGGAACTGAGACATGGCTCCTCTATCCGTCTCCAGGCGGGTCCACCCACATGCAGATACGCCCACATACGAGTACCCGGCGTGATTACATCATCGAGCCAACCCTATCACATACACCCCGTACAAATACAGCTGTATGTGACAGGGTTGGCGCCATAATGTACTTATGCGGACCGGTCACACATGTGTAGAGAGCAGCTGCTGTGTAGAAAGCAGCTGCTGTGTTGAAAGCAGCAGTATTGGAGGTAAAACGACATTCATGAATTATAATTACTGGGTAAATGTAAAATCATGTACTGTAAAATCATCAACCACTGCAAAAAAAATATCTGTATCATGGGAACTTAATCTGGATGCTCATCGGTCTTTTTATATTCAGCTGAGGTTGATGTGAATACTGCCCCCTTGTGATAGTAACAGGTATGTAAAAAAAACAGAATGGTAAATCATAGGAAAGTTAATGAACTGTATTGACTGAACTATGCCATGTATCATCTTTTGTATTACTAAAGCTATTGTTATATATTATTTTCATTAGCAAACCATCCCATGACAATGGATCGTGTAGAGAAGAACATTAAGAAAAGAAAATATAGTGAGGATTTTTTACAGTATGGTTTTACCTCAATAATTACAGCAGGAATTGAGAAACCGCAATGTGTTATTTGTTGTGAAGTTCTATCAGCCGAATCTATGAAGCCAAACAAACTAAAATGCCATTTTGATAGCAAGCATCCGAGCTTTGCCGGCAAGGATACTATTTTAGAAGCAAAGCTGATGGACTCAAGAAAGCCAGAGTTGACAATGGTGGCAAGTACCACAAACAAAACATAGCAGCGTTGAAGCTTCATATTTGGTGGCACTCAGAATCGCCAGAGCTATGGAACCTCACACCATTGCTGAGGATTTTCTGTTGCCAGTGGCCAAAGACATTTTTCGAGTTATGAACGGAGATGAATTTGTTATGAAATTGAGTGCAATTTCCTTATCTAACGACACTGTCCGCAGAAGAATAGATGACATGTCTGCTGATATTCTTGATCAGGTAATCCAGGAAATTAAATCTGCTCCACTTCCAATATTTAGTATCCAGCTTGATGAATCTACAGACGTTGCAAATTGTTCGCAGTTACTGGTTTACGTGAGGTATATTAATGATGGCGACTTTAAAGATGAGTTTCTTTTTTTGCAAACCTCTTGAAATGACAACTACTGCATGTGATATATTTGACACAGTTGGTTCATTTCTGAAAGAGCGTAAGATCTCTTGGGAAAAGGTTTGTGATGTTTGCACAGATGGTGCTCCAGTTATGCTAGGATGTTGATCTGGATTTCAACGTTTGGTACCGAATGAGTCACCAAAAGTCATCGGAACTCACTGTATGATTTATCGGCAAATATTAGCAACGAAGACGCTGTCACAAGATTTACAAGAAGTAATGAAAAGCGTCATAATTTGGGTCAATTTTGTAAAGGCGAGCACTTTAAACAGTCGACTGGTTTTGCATCTGTGCAACGAGTTGGATGCGCTGAACAATGCTCTGCTATTTCACACTGAAGTGAGATGGTTGTCGAGAGGAAAAGTTTTAAAACGTGTTTTTGAGCTTCGTGATGAACTCAAAATGTTTTTTAATCAGAAAGCAAGACCGCAGTTCGAAGCACTTTTCGGCGATAAAAATGAACTGCAGAAAATAGCTTACTTGGTTGACATCTTTGCCATCTTGAATGAGTTAAATTTATCACTGCAAGGACCAAAAACAACATGCCTCAATTTGTCTGAAAAGATCCGATCATTCCAAATGAAACTTCAGCTTTGGCAAAAAAAATTAGATGAAAATAAAATTTACATGTTGCCTACCCTATCCGATTTCTTTGAGGAACATGACATTGAACCAGACAAAAGGATTACGATGATAATTTCTGTGAAAGAACACTTGCACATGCTTGCAGAAGAAATTTCATTGCACTTTCCAAATCTACCTGACACCCGATTTGCACTTGCCAGAAGCCCATTTACAGTCAAAGTCGAAGATGTTTCTGAGACAGCACAAGAGGAGTTCATTGAACTTACTAACAACGATGCCGAGAGAACTGATTTCTCTACGATGCCAGTTACAAAATTCTGGATTAAGTGTTTGCAGTCATATCCTGTTCTGTCTGAGACTGTGTTGCGCCTTCTTCTTCCATTTCCAACAACATATCTTTGTGAAATAGGGTTTTCCAGCTAGTTGATTATCAAGTCTAAATACAGAAGTAGACTTGTTGTGGAAGATGATCTTTGTTGTGCTCTTGCAAAGACTGCCCCGAGAATTTCTGATCTGATGAGCAAGAAGCAATCTCAACCTTCGCATTGACGTTGGCTTTTTACGCATACTGTCGCAAAATGTAGCAATGTAGTTTACTGTTGTTATATTAAGAATGTTACCCATGCTACACCATGCTTGAAGACAAAATTTCATTTATTTGTAATTAGAAATAAATATTTCACAATATATAATTACATATTGTTTTTGTGATTAATCACTATGCTTTAATTATGTTTAATTTGTAACAATGAAAATACATCCTGCATAGCAGAAATTTACATTACGATTCATAACAGTAGCAAAATTACAGTTATAGAGTAGCAACGAAAATAATTTTATGGTTGGGGGTCACCACAACATGAGGAACTGTATTAAGGGGTTGCGGCATTAGGAGGGTTGAGACCCACTGCTCTAGATAATAGGAATGAGAAGAAAAGAGTTGAAGGCTAGGGAGCACCTAGTTTTTGTTTCTATTTTATTTCTATTAAGTCAATGCCATATCATTAATCCCATTTATCAGAAGCAAATTATTTCTCAATGAGTGACATGGACAAAATGTGTAAATCAATAGTTCTTTTCTTTCCCCTAAGGGAGATGTCTTAGACAAAGGCTAACAGATTGCTTTGCATAAGAAGAAGGCAGTCACCAAAGGAGGGATATGTGAACTTGAGGATAGAGGGCTGAGGAATGGAGGAATCAAAGGGAAGACACACCCAAGAAGGACCTTTAACTTTGGCTGCATTAATTGATTTCAAGTATTTTTCCAAAATGTGTCAGAAATCCACAAAAAAACAAAAAGTTGATATTTTGACCATTTTATGTATTTAATAACAATTTGAGCTGCTCTGTATATAAATATTATTTTTATGTATAAAATTTCCTATTGTTAGTCATCTTGAAAAACAAAAATATAGAAAAATATACATCTGCTTCTCTAAACCTCCTTTCTGGAAGTTTCCATCTGCATTCAGCAATGGAAATATTCACTTTGATATATCCCACCATCATGGCAAAAGGGTTAAGTTTCACGAGTGCTTTATAGAATGACAATGTCCTGTGATGGCCCTTCAGGCAGGAGCAAAAAAACTAGCTTTATGTGGATTACAAGGAGTATTGTAGTGTACATGATATGTATCTACTAGTTTTGTATACGATGAGGCACTGAATGTAAACAAACCACCTTTTATCGTAATGTGTGTAATTGTTATCTTAGGTTTTAGGTTCCATGACTGCCCAGCTATAAACAGGTATTTATAAGACTACTTCTCTGAGAGAAGAGAATATGTTTGTCTTTAGAGAATCTAGAATTCTTGGCCTTGAGAACATGAGTTAGAAAAGAAACAGACAGTATATAAATCATTCTCCTTTGCAAATGCACAAAGAGGTAAATTATTTCTCCTAGTTCTGAAATCCAAAGTCAATGGGAATTTCCCAAGTTAGTTGAGATTTTTTTTCAAAGAATAAGAAAATAGTTTGGGTCAGCCATGGCAAAGCAGCAGATTTAGGAAGGCTCTATCTCTATGTGAACCCAACATCAGATTTCACATGGCTGAATAATTATTAGGTCCAGAAAATAGTCAAGGATAACAGAAGAAGAACATACAATTGTGTGAGAGAGGATACACTAATATCAGGGAAGCACACATATGTTATGCAAATCAAACAGAGAACAATGGGTGGAAGCCTGAAATCAGAAAGGTAAAAGACAGCTGAAAGGATACCACTAAGGGCAGGATAATTTGGATTTGGTAGGGATATCATGTGACAAATGTAAAAGAACCTCTCATCAAAGTTTGGGGTAGGGGGTGGCAGAGTGGGGGAAGGCCCCGGAGCTACCTGAAAAGCAGCCAAAGCAAGGCCACATCTAGACATTGCTCTCAAAGAGCATGGGGTTCATGACTAGCTCTCAGGATCAGTAGTAACCCAAAGTCACCCTAGGCAAAGGTCCTCAGGGTGGGGACAAGAACAGGAGCCAGCATTCTTAGAATGTTGTTTCAAGCAATAAATTAGAATTTGATTTGAATATTCATAGGATCCTGGATCTTTCTGTGTAATCGCTTTTATGCATTTATGTCCACTGTATTCTCTTTGCTCCTTTTTGTAATAACAGGTGGAATTGGTGGCTTATCAAGCATCCCCCTTTTCTCCTTGATGGGGGAAAAAACAAAAAAGTTCTCCCTTTCTCTTTTCTTTCTTTTTCTTTTCTTTTTTTTTTAGGATCCAGGAGACCTTAACCCTCCTCTGAGCTCAGACAAGGAACGTAAGCAGACTAAGTCAATCATTGCAAACCCATCCCTCTTGACAATGATTGGTTCAGTTATTCAGGCATAAAGGAGAAGATCCATTTGGGGATATATTTTTTATTTCATATTTGGAAGAGACATTTCCTCTATTTCTGCATATTAACAAGTTAGATGTTGCCTTAGTTGTAGATGGCTACCATCTTTGGCCATGAGGAACAAAGCCAACACAAAAGAGGGCAGAACAGAAGAAGTTAATTACAGAGGAATGGAGCTGGAGTCCTGATTGACTGGAAGTCTTCTGTGTAAGCTAAAATTTTCTTATTGTTTAGTCTATTTTAAGTTAGGGTTACTATATTTTTCTACTGAAACCATACTAAACAATACAGATCTGAATTTGGAGTATGGAGTTGAGGGAAGATTTGGTCTGATTGTTTCTATTGTAATTGTCCTCTAACATGGAAGAAATGCAAATAATTTAAGAAGTCAATTAAAGACATCATAGAGAAAGAGAAAGTAGAGATATAATGTTAAGGGAAAAAAGATGGAGCAAGATCCTTGAGAAACTTTAAGTAGGAGAAATGGCACCTCTTTTGTTGTGAGAAAAGAAAATAAGGAAAGCTGGAAAAAAACTGAACTACATGGAGACGCCCGTGTAGGTCTGGTGGTAAGTTGATTACATTTACTCAAGATGATATTTCTGTTACTTGGAAAGAAGAAGGTGAATTAATGAGATGAGAGTAGAATGACATATGGTGGCAGTGTGATTACTTATGGAGAGCAGACGTGTTTTAAAACTACTGGATAGAGAAGAGAGGAGATGACAAGGAGGACAAAGAAGACTTGCTGAGAAACACTGTGGATATGACACCGGAGTCCATTAATTAATATTAATTCTCACCTTTCCAATTGCATAAGAAAAAAGTTACTTGGTAGACAGCTAGATTGATGCAGTTGGATCAGATGCAGTTGGATAAGCCACCAATTCCATCTGTTATTACAAAAAGGAACAATCTAGCTGGTAGACAGCTAGACTGATGCAGACTATGGATCGTGGCAGAGGTTGGTTGGAGTGATGAGCCATGGACTCAGGTAGAGGCAGAAGAAAAGATAGGAAAAGATAAATATATTGAGGGAAAAAAAGAAAGTGAGCACTAATCGGAGTTAGAAAGTTCTTGGCTTATGGTCAGAGAGTTGAATAGTCAGAGTTATGACTAGGGCATAATTATTGAAGCAGATGGTTGAAAACATAATACAGATATAATAACTAGGGCTGAGATGGTCAGTGAAAAAGCATACTGCATACTGCCCTTGGCATGTGAAGGGTATAAAGATTTCTTTAATAAAGAATCAAAGATTCTCTGACTTTATTGAGTTTATTTTTAAAGTTTGTTCGCCATTACTCTATTCTCACTGTAGAATTTCACATACCACTTCTCAAAATAATAAGTGTCAAAAAAGTCTAGTAATGACTTTCTTAGTTGAATTGCAGCTAATTATATACCGTAAGCTTAAAAAATCAGATACTCTGATTCATGACTTGAAGCACTTTTTGGAAAGGACAGTGATCATGTCAGTTGATAATGCAGGTATTTATATAATTTTCATCCAATATCAGGATATTAAAGAGTACAAAACTTTAATATCAGTGTACCAATCATCCTATGTATTTATATTTTCCCTCACACTCATCTATTACCTGGATTGTACAGGTTATATAGAGAGTGTTTTGGTATAGTCAGAAAGACTACACCAGCAACTTTGTCGGAAAATGTATAACCTCAAGAGCAAAACTAAAAAGCCAGATTTCAAGAATCCTTATCATTCACTCTTCAGGAAGATGACATTTTAGAGTATAATGGGACTCCTTGTAGAAAACCTGGAGTGTGTTTGAATTAGGTATAATTGGAGTGCAATTAAATTATACTTAAAAACTGGCCACTTGCTGGAGAACCCTGGGAATATTTGGGATTAGCACAGTGTTAGAGAAGTTGGATTTTAGTAGGAAAAACCACACTGACTGCAGGACATATTTTTAAAATGGCATAAATGAAAAGGACAATATGGTATAATGCTCTCAACTGTGAAGCAATAAACTTACAAAGTTTTATTAACTCAGTTTGATGTCTTTCTAAAATTAAATAAGTTTCTTTTCTTTTGCTCTTTTTCTGAATCTGCTACAGCTTCAAATATATGTTTTCCACTATTTTAGATCTATTAAAAATATCTCATTCTGAAATAGTTATGTTTCATTGAGATTATATTAATGATGTTAGCTGGAACATTTATAAGTCATATATGAAGAATAGTGCTCTAACTTTGAGTGCTATTGAATGTTAGAAAGAGAGTGAATTTGTTATGAGATCCCCTTTTTTGGGGGCTCTTCAGATTAATATACGAGGTCTGCCAATTAAGTTTGTGAACTTGTTGCAATGATGTTGCTAACCTTTTTTGATATTACAGGGATTATTCATTATGAATTTGTACCAACTGGACAAACAGTTAACCAAGTCTACTATTTGGAAGTGCTGAAAGGCTGCATAAAAAAGTTAAACGACCTGAACTTTTCGCCACCAATTCAATGTCTCTTGCATCACGACAATGCACCAGCTCACACAGCACTGTCTGTGAGGGAGTTTTTAGCCAGTAAACAAATAACTGTATTGGAACGTCCTTCATACTCACCTAATCTGGCCCCCAATGACTTCTTTCTTCACCCAGAGATAAAGGAAATATTGAAAGGAAGGCATTTTGATGACATTCAGGACATCAAGAATAATATTATACGACAACAGCTGTCATGGCCAT